AAATGTTGTTGTTCAGTCACTAAGTCATATCTGTCTGTGACCCCATGGACTGTATGTAGCACCAGGTTTCCCCTGTCCTGCATGAGTCGGTGATGCCATCCAACCATCTCATCCTCTGTCATCCCCTTCTCCTCCTGCCTTCGATCTTTCCCAGCATCAGGGCCTTTTCCAACGAGTCGGCTCTTCTCATCAGGTGGCCAAAGTATTGGAGCTTCAGCTTCAACATCAGTCCTTCCAATGAATATTCAGTGTTGATTTCCTTCAGGATTGACTGGTTTCATCTCCTAGCTGTCCAGGGGACTCTGAAGAGTCTTCTCCAGCACCATAGAATAATGAAATACCCTCCTCAGATCTTTGTTGAGGATCCAATGAGATGATATGTGTAAACTGCCAGGCATGTAGGAGGTGCCCAGTAAGAATTTATTCCCTTCTCCTTTTTTCCTGCCTTCCCTCATCACTGATCCAGAAATCTTACAGTCAACTCCAAGCCCAATACAGTCTGACCTATTTCCTTTCTGACCTGCTCCATTCTGTCTCTCAGGCACACTGATCATGTTGAAGTTTCTCGAACACTCTAGACACACTCGCACCTCAGGACCCTCTGACACCTGCGTGGCTTGTTTCATCTCTGGCAAGTTTTTGCTCCATTATCATGCTCTCAGTGAGACCCTCCCTAGCCACTCGCTTTAAAACTCCAACACCCCTCATCTTATTATTGCTTTCCTAGCTTTATTTTCCTCTAAAGTTCTTATTACCTTCCCCAAAGTTATATAATTTAATCGTTTTTTTTTTAAATTTGTGTGTGTGTGTATTTTATTAATTTGTTCATGATCCCTTCTAACTATCATACACACTCCACAAGGACAGGAAGTTTTAAATGTCTTTTTCATTGCTGTATCTCCAGTGCTTGGAACAGTGTCAGGCACATAATGAGCTCTCAGTAAGTGTTTGTGGAATGAATGAATGCTTGATTAGCTCTCATGATAACTATTGAGAATATTGGGAGTTGGGGGAGCACCTGAGACTGAAGAATCTTAACTGCCATCTGAGGGCTCTGCAATCTGGCTGGGTCGTGACTCCCTGCTAGGAGTCTAGGAGTCAAGAGCTCTAGCCCTTTACTCCTTTGTCTGTAAAATGAGGACCTTGCCCTTTGCCTCACTAAATAGCCCATTTTTATTTAAAAAAAAAATTTTCTTTTTGATGTGTGTTTTTATTTGTTTATTTGGCTGCATCAGGTCTTAGTTACAGCACTCAGGATCTTTCATTGCTACACACCAGCTCTCTAGTTGTGGCATGGGTTCCGGAGCATGTGGGCTCAGTAGTTGTGGTGTTTGGGCTCAGTAGTTGTGGTGTTTGGGCTCAGTCATTGTGGTGTTTGGGCTCAGTCATTGTGGTGCTCGGGCTCAGTCATTGTGGTGCTCGGGCTCTGTAGTTGTGGTGCTCAGACTCAGTAGTTGCAGTACTCAGGCTTAGTTGCCCCACAGCTTTTGGGATCTTCATTCCCGTATCAGGGATGGAAACTTCATCCCCTGCATTGCAAGGTGGATTCTTAACCCCTGGACCACCAGGAAAGTCCCATAATTAGCCCATTTTTAGGAAAAACTTAACCCTAGAAGCTTTTACACAGAAACATTGGTTAGCTTGTAGTTCACCTTGAAGATGTGGAACCAACATATCCCCTCTTGCCCCTCTGCCAGTTCCCCTGCTGGGCAATTTATTTTTCTCCTTTGTTTGCTTCCTGTCCTCAACTCATCGGACTTAAAGACAATCTCCCACTGAACCTGACAGCAGTGCAACGCCCAGGGACATGGTTCCCAGAAGGTGGCCTGAGTCCATTTCCTTGCCAGCCTCTGAGAGCTAAGGAGGCTCTGTATGTGAATTAAAGCTACCGTGCACGAAAGAGCTGAGACAGCTGTCCCCTGGTGAAGTTGTCTGTTTAGATTAGGTTCACTCAGTCATTTACTCATTCACTTATTTCTTCACACCGAGAGACTCACAGTCAGATGGGAGAGGCGAGAGCAGACAAATCATCACAGCAGTGGAAACACACAGGTGGAGGAGAAAGCTTCTGTGTTCGTGAAGTCCCTGCTGCAAGAGTGTCTGTTGTACGACAGCCCCAAACCTCAGTGGCTTCCAACCAAAATTATTCATTTCTTGCTTCAGTACCTACAGATCAGCTAAGGTGGCCAAGCTTCAGGTGGATCAAGTTCTGGTCTGTCCCTGTATCTCTTTCTGGGACCCAGACTGAAGAGGCAGTGGCTCCCTGGGGCAAGCTCTTTATGGCCCATGGCCAGAGTACAAGATGCCAAGCCAAACCACACAAGCACATCCACAGCCTGTACTTTCATCACGTTTATAACAATTCATGGGCCAAAGCCAGTCACAGGCCAGGCCCACCATCTGGAAGGTAGGGGTGAATACTCTGCTTAGTCTAGTGGCAATATGATTGTGTTGTTCTGTTTCAGGGAGGGACTGAAGAGTTAGGAATGCTATACTTGAAGTGGCTTAGTAGTAATCTGCCTGCAACGCAGGAGACGTAGATTCAATCCCTGGGTCGGGAAGATCCCCTGGAGAAGGAAATGGCTACCCACTCCAGTGTTCTTGCCTGGGAGATCCCATGGACAAAGGAACCTGGTAGGCTACAATTCATGGGGTCACAAAGAGTCAGAGCAACTAAACTGCAATGACAACAATCGACTGTGCTACAGCATTTAGCTCATTTAGCTCCAGCTGTGGAAATGAGGGAAGACTTCTTGGAGATAGTAACTTTCATCTTGAAGGATAAGTCCTTTTCGAGACAATTAAGCAGTCAGTAATATATGCAATTTTGTAGTATCGCATACACACACACACACACACACACACACACACATATATATTTATATATGCACAAGTAGTAATTTATGCACCAGAGAATCCTGGCGTGCTGCAGTCTGTAGGGCTGCAAAGAGTCAGATGTGACTTAGCAACTGAAGAGCAACAACAGCAAATACATGGGAGTGCATGCTGATTTTAAAAGTGAATGTGAAATGTTATCTTAAAATTCGCCTAGTCACTGTGGGCAATATGTAAAGAGCTACAGGAAGATAGAAATAAAGGTCACCAGAATGCGTGCCTAAGAAGTCCAAACTTCATAAGGGAGATCAGAAAGATATAAAAAAGAAAAGGAAAACATGTTACCAGTACATTCTTGCCAGCTGGATGGAACAAAAGTGTGAACTCAGAAAGGAAGTTAGAGTATATTTTTAGCAGCTACTTTTGGTACAGGATGCAAGATATGCACTGCTTTCTAGCTATTATTTCATTTAATCCCAGCAACCCTGGAAGGATATCCTAATGAGAAGCCTGAGCCTCAGAGTGGTTAGGTAACTTGCCTCATGTTTTGTAGTTAGACGGTCATAGTGGGAGTACTTCCTTGTAGATCTCTTTTGCCAAAGAGCAAAGAGTTTATTCATAGATGTATTCATAGACATTACTACGTTACTGTACACGCTGTCTTTTATTGAGTAGGGCTGCTTTAAGATGTAGTAAACTCTTTTTTTTTTTTTTTTTTTTAGTGTCTACTATATATGCAGCACTCTGCTTGTTAAAGGACCCCAGTCCTGGAGTAGTTCCTCAAGTCTAGCCTGGCTGTGGCATTCTGTAGGTCTCACCTTATTCTCATTGCTCATAGGTTCAAAAACCTTTTTTTTGAGTCTTTATTGAATTCTGTTATAATACTGCTTCTGTCTTAATGTTTTAGTTTTCTGGCCATGAGGCATGTGGGATCTTAACTCCCCGATCAGGGATCAAACCCATACCCCCCACACTGGACTGTGAAGTCTCGACCGTTGGCCCACCAGGGACGTCCCTGCTCATGGGCTTAAAATGCCTCAAAGAAAATAGGATTCTTGCCAATGTTTCTATGCAAAAATGCTCACTTTGAGTGGTGAGATGTTTGGAAATCCTGCCTCTTTTTCCCCCAGATTATATACACACAGTCAGTGTTCTTTCTCCTGGGAAATGAAGGGAGACAGCTTGGTGAGTTGCTCCAGGTCCAGGAAAAGTTAGAGGTGGGACTAAGTGGAGAGAGAATAACTGTTTTTTCACTATGGTGCAAACTACCTCTACCTGATAATAATTCTTCCATCATTACAGAGCACAGGTACACGCTAGTGGAACATCCCTGTGCATGAAGAAGTGGGCATTTGTAAATTTTTATTTCTAGTTTCCTACCAGTAATCACTTGACAACTGGAATAAGGCCTCCCTGGTCTTCTTGACCTTTAGTGTTACCTTTCAGCCTAGCGTCCTGTTCATTTGCGGAGAGAACCACCGTCTTTCTGCAACCACCCCTTCCCTCTGTGGATCATTAAACATTGACAGGCATTTTTGTGCACTCTCCATCTCGGCAGTCTGGAATTGAGTTGAAGCATGTTTCATGGCCCATTTTCTATTTGCTCAAGAAGCTGGCAGAACTGGTTTCCCTGATCTCGGAGACCATCTCACATGGTCACTTTTCCCCCCAGACATGTTTGAAATCTTATAATAATGAGCAATGCTTATTGTTAATAATGAGAACCGCTGCCTATCGCTGTCTGGTATTTACTGTCTCACGATTCCCCAGGCAGGTGACGCTCAGATCCTGTGGCTGCTCATCGAGCTGACGTCGGACAGAAGGAGAAAAAACTGTCTCAGACTGGTCCATCGAGGGGGCGTGAGTGGGAATGCTGCAGGAGGAACAAGTGACCTGTCTGGCCGAGAATCCAGCATCCTGAGCGCTTCCTCTTGACATCACCCTCCAGACTTCTACTGCCTCGAGGGAAAGGGCGCTTAGGATTTTGTTCTCAGCCACCTAAAACTTTTGCCTATCCAAGAGAAGACTTTTGCTGCAGAACTGAACAAGATACCATTCCATCGCACTTTTTTTTATCCTTTGATCATCCTGGCTACGGTGACTTGTTCAGCTTGGGGAATTTGAAGCTGTGTTTTTTCCTGCCAGTTTTGTGAACACTTTTCAAAATGATCGACTTAAGCTTCCTGACGGAGGAGGAGCAGGAGGCCATCATGAAGGTTCTGCAGCGAGACGCCGCCCTGAAGAGGGCTGAAGAGCAGAGAGTCAGGTAGGAGGCCGGCCCTCCGCTGGGGGGAGGAGGGCGGTCTGCAAGAGGACGAGAAACTTGGTTCCTCTCAGCTGTAAGTGGCCATTCTGACTTGGAGCCTGACTTTCGGGTTCAGGTGTATTTCCTGGCCAGAACTTTCTCCTCATCCCATAGGACTCATGCCAGAAATAGTCTTGATTAAAAACCTAACTAAATGCCTTTAACTTATTACACACTGGGTTAAAAATGAAATACTCTATACAAACACAGCCATACATCTACACTCCCCATATATATGTACAATGTGTACACACACACAAACACACATATTAATTTTTTTTTTTTACTGAATCTACTTCTTTAAAAGTGAATCATGTACTAAATTAGAAAAAAAATTAAGTTTCTAAGGTTTTTAGAACAGAGAAGTAGCTCACATTTTTGTATATTTTCGTACATGTTTCAATTGATTTCAGCAGCAAGTTGAAGTTGGTTCTGACTGAGCCAGTTTTTCATTTGTGTCCCTTGAGAAAGAGTGACACTGTTCTTGTTAGGAGGAACTCAAACCAAGTGTTCCACATCAACAGTCCTACCACTTTCACCTACTGTGGGGTAGGAGGAGCATGAGATCAGAGTGCTAAAGAAGTGGGCTTGAGTTCAAGCCCTGCTATCTATTGCCTTTGTCATCTGGAGTTTTAAAGGCTTCCTGAGTGTAAGTTAGTCATATTCATGGCATAACACCCATCCCAGGAATTATCCAAAAGGAACATCAGCCATCTTCTTACTTCTCGGGACACCATGATCATAAACAATGGATTTATTTGTATCCATATTTTATTTTTTCATAGTTGACCCTCATTTGAACTTGGATGCTTTGTAAAAGAACATGCTGAACTTCCCTTAAAGTACTCCAGAGTGTCTGATTATGGCTGCTCATCATAATTCATGTTAAACAGTGCTTAACAGATTGCAAGGGACTTATAGGCCCATTATGTCTTCTGAGCTCACAACACTCATGCAGTTGGGGTGCCGGGTGGTTTGTAATTATACCAACCTGATGTGTGAGGAAATTGACCTTGAGACAGGTCAGGTGACTCACCCAGGCTTATGCAATCCATAGATGTCAGAAGTGAGAATTAAATCCTGGCCCACGGGTGCTCATTCACTGTCTACCGTCCCTTCCTGAGAAAACTGCAGCAGACAGGACATCCTGGGAGCCAGCCATGACGAAGGCGGTGGCTGTCACGGACCCTGAGCTGTGACGGTGACAGGAGACAGCTGTAGGTGGTGGAGGTCATGAGAATGGGGTTCCTTGTCATGTGCCTTCCTCCAAGTTGCTGCTCCCCACTCTCAGCAAGTGGGGCGCCTCAAACAGTGTCCCCTGGAGAGCTGGGAATTACACCAATCAGCCATCAGGGTCTCTTGGTAGCATTCATCCTTTACCAGTCACAGTATATGAATGTCATCCTCTTATGATCCTCCCAGCAGCCCTGAGATTTGGCGAGGCAAGACTGTTAGACCCATTTTAGAAATAAGGGGGTGGGGGGAGCGGCACAGAGGAAAAATTAGTAGGTTTTTCAAGCATGGAGGGAATGGGAATTCCTTTAGTCTCTCAGAAGACTAGATGGAGAGACTGGGAGAGAAAGCAGTGGAGCTGAGATGGCCCCAGGGTCCCATCCCTCTTCCTGCCTCAAGACGTGGGAACTCTCAGTATTAGCAAGCTGCCACCTTTGATTCCTCCTGCTGTGGCACTAACGGTAAAGAACCTGCCTGCCAGTGCAGGAGATGCAAGAGATGTGGGTTCAGTTCCTGGGTTGGGAAGACCCCCTGGAGGAGGGCATGGCAACCCACGCCAGTATTCTTGCCTGGAGAAGCCGATGGAGACAGGAGCTGGGTGGGCTATGGTCCATAGAGTCTCACAGAGTCGGGCACGACTGCAGCAACTGAGCGTGCACTCACCAAAAAGGTTTTATGTGTGATCTGTAATTCTGCTTCCTCCATCTAGCCGGATTATGAAGGCTAGAGGGAGGTTACCCTCCCTTCTATTTTAAGCATACTGAATATTTTATTCTTTTTAGAAAATATTTATTATGTGGCTGTGCTGGATCTTAGTCACAGCATGTAGGATCTTTAGTTGTGGCTACAAACTCCTAGTTGTGGCATGTGGGATCCAGTTCCCTGACCAGGGATCCAACCTAGACCCCCTGCATTGGGAGTGCGGGATGCTAGCCCTGGGACCGCCAGGGAAGTCCCCCTCCCTTCTATATTTACTTGGCCTCTGGGATTCCAGGCTATTGGGTCTTCCTCATAGTTCTCCGATTCTGTATGAGTGGAGGTATTTCTCAGGCATCTATGGTAAGAGCTGAAAATATCCTTAAAAATTCCAAGTTCTGCCTGAAAGTGAGCCTGGTGAGGGGTGGGAATGTGTAGTCACTGGCGCTAGCAAGTCTGCAGCCCCAGCAGGAAGGCCGTGAGTCCTCTTGCAGAGGGGACCTTGCAGAGTCTCCTTCCATGCACTGTTTCTGAGGACGCCTCCGAAGCTGCCGCTGGTGCTGTCCTTGTTTCTTGCTTTTGTGAGCTAATGGAAGATGGCTTGGGGCGGTGAAAATCTGGTGGGACTCAAACCCTGTTTGCTACCACTATCCTGTGTGTCAGTCGCTCAGTTGTGTCCAGCCCTCTGGGACCCCGTGGACTGTAGCCCTCCAGGCTCCTCTGTCCCTGGGATTCTCCAGGCAAGAATACTGGAGTGGGTTGCCATGCCCTTCTCCGGGGATCTTCCCGACCCCGGGATCAGACCTGGGTCTCCTGCGCTGCAGGCGGATTCTTTGCGGTCTGAGCCACCATTCTGGGGGCCTTCCTAGTTAGCCACCAAGCAGCTTGGATGGACTTGGCCATGGGCGGGTCCAGGACCGCGTGCCAGGGGTGCAGATGGGCAGCAGGCCCACACCTTGTGGGCACTGAGAGAGGCCCAGCTCACAGCCTGCTCCACACGGGAGGAATGGTGCTCTCGAACCCTTTGCTTTAGCCCTGAAGGGAACTTGGCGGATTCTGAGGCTGTCTGCTACTGGACTGATGGAACAAAATGCTGTTCCTTGGGCTTTTGCTTTTCAGTCCCGTTACCATCCCCTGGCTGTTTGTCTTTGGTGCTTCCATCAGAATTATAGGCTGATGGCTCTGGAAAGATTTCTGGGGTCCATATCAGTCAGTTTACAGATAAAGCAGGAAAAACCCAGAGAGGAGAAGTGACTTACCCAGGCTCACACAGATAGTCAGTGCCAGAGCCATGATAAGAAAAGCTCATGGTCTCCTGGTTTGAGAAGAACAGTAAGGGCCCCTCAGTCAAAACTGATGTGATTTTGAATCCTTTCCTCACCACTAAATCAACCGTGGTTCATTTGGCAAGTTACTTGACCTCTCTGAGCCCTCAACTCAGAGACTGGGAATAACCATAGTATCAAACTCAAAGAATTATAGCCAGATAAAATAATTCTTTATCTTCTTAGCACATAGTAGATGACTGATACATTTTCATTTCCTTATTCACCACTCCACCTATGCCTCTAAGGAAAAAAAAAAAAAGACAAATTCTCTGGTTAGTGGTCTGATTCCTTAGAAGGAAATTACTCCTAAAGCTCTCAACTATTTATTAATAAAATAGTGGAATCTAATTGAGCAGTCATTAAATATAGGAAACTTCTTTGGACTAAGGAAAGGGATTTTAGGGTAACTGAAACATTACCAGCCTACCAGTCCCAGCCCTCAAGGTATTTACCATTTATCGGATTATCAATTGCAAATTTAAAACCTCGACCTTGTTTCCCTAACGTGATTTTGCAATGCCCCAGTTCTCCTCCAAGTTGGTAAGTGACTTTAGAGACATAAATTGGATAATTCTATTCTTAGCCTAAGCAAAACACCATTAGAAAGGCAAATCTGCCACTGAAATTCAGAGTGCTATTTCAAATGCTGGTTTCTTATGGACTTTGGCAGCGAGGACATTACTAATGGGCTACGGCACTGCTGCCCGCTAAGAGCAGACTCTGCCTCAGAGTCCTTTTCAGTACGGCGGTGGGGGAGAGTTGCATTTAAGCTGAAATCTGTCTGCCATTCCTCATTTATCCAGGAATGCTTCGACTTGTTCACATCCAAACTCTTTCAAGACCTTTTGGAGATGATTTATCCTGTAGGTTACCTCCCATCCAAATTTCAGGGCTTCCTATAGGAGGTGGCACCAGTGGTAAAAGAACGCGCCTGCCAGTGCAGGAGACTTTAGAGATGCAGGTTCGATTTCTGGGTCAGGAAGATCCCCGGAAGAGGTCATGGCAACCCGCTCCAGTGTTCTGGCCTGGAGAATCCCATGGATGGAGGGACCTGCCAGGCTACAGTCAGGGGCTCACAAAGAGTCGGACCCGGCTTGGCAACTAAACAACAGCCACCTGCAGACTTCATGGATGAGAACGTGAGTGTCGTCCAGAAGTGTCCATTTCCCAAATCACTCAACCTGTTAATGGCAGAAAGTGGATGTGAACCCCAGGGAACATCACATTTCACAGAGCAGCAGGGCGGCAGACACCAGGCTGGATTCTTTTTCTCTCTCCTGGCTGCCTCCTTCCTCTCTGTCCTCTTTTTTTTTTTAAGAAACACCACCACACATACATAGATGTAATTTTGGTCTTTTATGGTTTGAAAATGACAGACTCTGGAGGTGGTATTTCCTGTGATTTGCGTCACACTGCCAGCAGGAAATCATTGTCCCTGGGTGTCTGTACACCGCCAGCACTGTGCCCCCCACCCCATAAACACACAGCCACATCTAGGGTGATGGGTGTTCATGCAGCAGATAACATCTCAACCGCGACCACATCTTGTGATCCTCAGCTGCTGCCTTAAGCCCTAGTTTCTATGAAATGAAGGCGGTTGTCATTGAAGAACTGCCTTCAGGCACCTCTGATGGTGTTTTCTGTCAAAGCAAAGGGGAAAGGAACCAACATTTGTCCAGGATCCACATTGTACACAGTGTCACA